TAATAACTATAATATAATAATAATATTATTAAATAAAAATAATGTGGGCAGATGTACCCTGTATATTAAAATTGGTAGAAGAGGCATAAGTGAAGACTTTGGGGAAGTAGGTAGAGAAGGATGGTTTCTAGGTTTGAGAATGAAGGGTTGTCAATTTTGATTTTTGAAAAATGTCAGTAGTAATTTTGGAAAATAAATTGAATTGTAAATTAAAAGAATATACAAACAATTAAATAAGCAAAACTTAGAAGTTACGTTGTAAAATATAAAAGGAACTATAGATAGATACAGAAAAAAAGGAGAGTACATAAAAAAAAAGAGGTGGAGATGGATGTAGACCAGAAGTCCAAGGAAAAGTAAAGAATAGTAGAACCAAGACTGTGAGTACGCCATAATATATAAACATTTTATTTTGTGCGTTTTGACTGATAAATATTAAAAAAAAATGGAATAAAAGGTATCTAACAATTTGTTCATTAGGAAATTGGACAATTCTGAAATTAGATGTAAATTTAGTTAATTTTCATAAATGTCTAAGTGATAGATTATAGTTATTGGATTTTGTAAATTTTGACAATTCCAATTTTTTAGTAGGTGTAGTAGGGTCGTTTATAAGTTATTTTCTTCAAGATATGGAATATCTGATTTGTTCAATGTTTTCTATAATGTTGTGTGGAAATTAAACTATAAGTTAATTTTTTAAGAGTTTTGTTTATTTAAGCGTTTATTTTTCACAATATAACAAAGACAGGTACTTATAAAATTTCTTCATCTACGAGAACTTTTGCATAATTCCAATAAATAGATTCTACAAAAGATTAAAATATAATTAAAATATAATTAAAATATAATTAAAATATAATTAAAATATAATTAAAATATAATTAAAATATAATTAAAATTAATTAAAATATAATTAAAATATAATTAAAATAATATTAAAATAAAATTTAAATAAAATTAAAACAAAATTGAAATAGAATTCATATAAGATTAAAGAAAATAAAACAGTATTAATTTTATAATTTGGAAAAAAAAAAAAAAAAAATTATACTTTAATTAAAATAAAATTTAAAATGGTAATCAAGTGCGATATCATTTCAATATATATATAATACATTTTTCTTATTATTTAACCCCAACTTGCTAATTGTCTGTTCGATTTCATAATCAGGTTGGTCAATAAGACCTATGGTAAGGTAACGGTTTATAATAGTAGGAGCATACTCAATTTGTAACCGCTTGAGGGCCTTCGCAGAGGAGATGCAATTGGTTTAGCTATTTGGAGTTTTATAGCGGACCGTCACTTGGTATTGTTGAATGTGAGTAAAATCCTGGCGCCCACTAACATACATAACTTCTGCTACGACTCACCCCTTCTTCACTGTAGCTAATCGGCATCCAACACTTGGATTGATTTAAATCCCACATCAAGTGCTTAGGCAGATAGCAATAGTTATTGTGAGAGGCAGAAACTAAATAAAAAGAAAGGTTTATAGGACAGATGAAAATTAGAAAGAAAAAACTGAAAAAATAATGGTGTACGGATTACATATTACACTAGTCTTAGTTACATTCAGATTATGTCCCTAAGGCAATAATAGTAGCGTGCAGTTTAGAACAATGTAGTCAATACTTTTCCGTGTACCATTCTGTAACAATTTAGCCGTAGTTCCGGAATACAACGCCGCAAATATCAATCTAAACACCTAGCTAAATATCCCCATAACTATAAAACGATCTTTATCGAAAACAAACACGGCCCGTTTCTATCTCCCGTTCCTGCTGACGGCAGCTTCTAGTTTGCATATATAACCCCAGCGGTAAAGATGGCGGTTGATGTATAACAAACATATAACTGTAGTCTCTTCGAAGACAAATTTGCATATAGATTGGTGCAGGTAACTGGAGGCGTCAAGAATTCCGATGTGTGCCGCTTCCGCCATTGGTCGAAGCTTTGATGTAGCCGCGGGGCTTATATTCATCCGGTTTTGGCCGGACTCCCAATAACCTCTGAATATTCAACGTAGTTTTTTAGTTATTTTTGAAAAATGGAAGTTGTGTTGCTCGGTAGCTTGTTAAAAGCTTTGGAAACGGAATGAAGTATTTTTTGCTTTTATTTTTATAAAGCGGTTTATGTAAATATGCATCCAGACAGACAAGAATCGGTAGGTGGGAATACTTTACGGATTTCGCCACACAAATAAGCATGAGGATGGAATGGTGCAAAACGTTTCGTGATCTGGAATAAATCAGATATTTTAAAATAACTTGAAGAAAATAAGTAGGTCTTTTATTCAATTGTCGCCTATGCATATGTATCTTTTAAATATTTTCAAGGGTAATACCACAAGAGGTGAGAATTTTTTGAGAACATTTTGTTGTTTCTTTGGAAATTATGCGTTTAAATTTCATGAAACAACATCCTGCTTAAAATAACACGAGACAGCAGTTAACTCATATTTTGGAAGGATTTTGTTGATATTACAAGTATTTTTTTGTGTCGAAGAAAGGGCTGATGGACAAAAGAGATTTGTTTTTGAAATAGCTGTAAAGTCGGAACCAAAAGTTGAAAAGTATTTTAATTGCTTTCAAAATGTTTGTATGATTTTCAAACAAGAATATTGACTTTACAGACATTTTTTATTAGTTCTGCCTCATTGGCGTACTAAATTTTTAAACCGTTCCTGTCTATCAGCTGTTGAAAAATATTGTCAAACTTCTGAAGTAAACTCGAGCGGAGTGTAATCAGTTTTTTTTGTGTGATAATTCAAATATCGAAATTGGTATGGTTTCAGTCAAAATATAATGTAAAAAAGCATTTTTGTTTTTTTATTTTTTTTTTTCAGAAAATATACGTTTTGTTTTAAAACTATTTAAACAGAACTCAGTTACATTTTAGGCAAACATTACCTATTAATAACATTCTCTACTGAGAGTCAAACCCTACCCAAATAATACACATAGTACCAAATCCTTTAGAAATCGGTTTTGCTTTGATGCCCTAGTTCCTGAGGAACACCCAGTTACTAATATTGCTACCTTATTGGGCAAGGAAACTTTATAGGGTTCTTTTAAAGTAACTGTTAATTCAATAAAGTAATTCCATTAAAAGGAGACAAATCAGTGTCTTTGTGAATTATTTCTTGTATTTCTTGACCAGGAATTACTGAAGACTATATGACAATTCTGAACAATTAATACTAATCTGTAATAATAATCCCATATTTAAAAAAGAAACAAAAACAAAATGTGAAGTATTTTTTAACCTTGAAATGCTCTATAATCATCTCCATGTCCTATCCCTGATTGAAGTTGAACATGTTTCTTGTTTTTTTAATGCATTTTGAACATTCAGTAAGTGTTTTACAGTTTGTAAACTTGAAAACAAATGTTCATTGAATTATTTGATTACTTGCTTGAAAAAAAAACTTACTATTTTTTACTAATAAAGGAAGGAAAAAGGACTGTCCCTAAGAATTACATCAACTCCATGGACACGTCTAAACTTAGTATTTCTCGAATAAAATTTGCTTGTGGTGGGGAGCCTATCCTTTTAATGTTTATGTTAAAATCTCGTATCAGTATCTTCCAAGCAGTCGAAGGTGATAGTGTTATTTTTACGGGCATAAAGGACGCTAACCATTCATTACGAGGTGAGTATAGTTTCATTTAGTCAACTCCATGGTTCAATTCTTTACAGGAATTATAATTAATGTTTAATTATTGAATTCAATTTTCTATTATACTCGTACATGTTGTATACCTCTTATGCCCAATCGGAGATCTTCCTTAAAAATACCCCTTAGTTGACGATTTTGCATTTTTTAGTCACCTCCATGGATATCAACTCCATGTTCTTTACTGGGCCATGGAGTCGACTGTTAAGCATGGAGTTGATACACTTTTTGATTTCAGATCCAAAATGGGAAAAACTGACAAAGATATTGACAAAAGAAGGCAGCAAAAGAGAGAAGCTGAGACAAGGAGAAGAGAGCGAATTAAAAATAATCCTGAGGGATACTAAAAGGCAAAAGTATCAAAAAGGGAAAGATACCACCGGAGAAAAAATAAAAACCATCAGAGGAATCAAACAGAAGAAAACGCATAATTAGGAAAAGATGGAAAACATCTTCTAAGAAATACAGAAAATCTATGAAAACTATGATAGCTGCAATGGAGTTTGCGGAACGCAATTCGCCACCAGCCATTCCATTTTTGAACGAGCCAAACTTTAATCAGACTCCGAATCAGAATACAAGAAGTTCAAGAAGGGATTCTGGAAAAAAGTTAGCCCCGAAAAAATAAAGATAAAATGTACAGAGATATTCAAAAATTGAAGTTAAAGCTACAAAAAACTAAAACTGAATTAGAAAAGTATAAGAAATTATTTTATAGACAAAAAGATAAAAATAAAGCTGATGGGGATAAATTCCAAGAGTTGAGCCTTAAATCGAAAGTTCGGAAGAGCCTTAAAGGTTATAATGTCCCTCAACACATTGAGGGAAAAGTGCTGTTTTCAGAAGAATTAAAAGCACAAATTTCAAAAAATCTTGAAAATAATAAATCTGTAAAACGTTGAAAATCATTCGGAAAATTAGTTTCTGGAGAAATAATTAAGAAATACCGACTTCTTGGAAGAATGAAAAACTCTGTTTTTTATAAAATGCTTAAAAAATCGAATAATAAAATCTCATCTAGGAAAAGACTTTTAAAGGACTGGGAGACAGCTATTTATAGGTTTTATCTGAGATAAATGCAGTCGAATTGCTGCAGGCGAAGGTGACACTGTTACTTTCAGGTCAGTTAAGAAGCAAAAGAGATATTTGAATTTCTCCATGAAATAATTACATCAAAATTTTATCAAGACCCATAATATCAAAGTAAGTTACTCTCTGTTCTGCGCATGTCGCCCTTTCTGGGTTTTGATGCCTAAAACCAGCCTCAGAGAGACCTGTCTCTGTATAAAACATGAAAATTTTAGACTGCTGTTCACAAAAATGAAACTTTTGAAGTTCTTTAATTACAGTCAACCCGAAGACTTAATCAAAAGTTTATGTTACGACAATAAAATGGAAGAGAGTTGTTTAGAAAAAAGATGCGACAACTGTAAGAAAAAAAGTTATTTGGAACGAAATTAATAAAAAGGAATCTGCTGTTTATAAAAAATGGATACTAGTTAGTGAAGAAATACTTGTTAAAGGCATTAAGAAGACATGCAAAAAGAACATTAAGAAAGACGTTATTTGTAACAAAGAAAAAATGATGGAAGCTCTTCAGCGTGATCTTCCAAAGTGTATGCAACACATTGCAAACATAAGACATCAATACCAGTTTATCAACACCTTAAAAGATTTATTAGAAAAAGAAGATGTTTTCGTGCATATGGATTTTTCTGAAAACTACCAGTGCAAATATAATAGAGAGATACAAAGTGCGTATTTTGTGGAGCTAAACCACAAATATCACTGCATACTGTAGTTTGGTATTACAAATCATAAAATGAAGAAATAAGAAGAAACTCGTTTTGCAGTTTATCTGAGAATACCCGTCATGATCACATTGGAATTTTTGCTCATCTTCAACCTTTATTTCAACAAATTTCGGAAAAGTTGATAACCAATAATAAGGTGCATTTTCTTAGTGACGGGCCGACGACCCAATATCGGAACAAAAACATGTTTTTCGTTTTTGCTTCCAAGTTCGTAGATATATTGAAACCTTCAATCATGATTTAGAAGTTTTCTAAAGGAGGTCATGGAAAGGGAGCTCCAGACGATATTGGTGGAGTGATAAAACGTACTGCTGATCGATTAGTGGCTTTAGGAGAAGATATTCCTGATCATAAATGTCTAGTTGAGCAAGTATCAAATCGTTGCTCTGGAATTCAGTTACAAGTTGTCACTAAAGACTTTTAAAAAACTGAAAGCGAATGCTCAGTTCCAAATGATCTCAAAGCTTTCAAAGGAACTCTGTCCATTCATCAAATAACTTGGAATACAAATAAATCTAATACTGTATTATTCAGAAGACTGCTTGCATTGTACGAGCTCAGAAATCTGTTCTCACTACCACTTAGGTGAAATGGTTGTGCCTATCAGATCCAAAAGAATCAGATACAGCGAAGTATATAGTTCCAGCTCTTATGAAGGTTCTTTTTTCACTGATGAAAAGCACGATTTTAAAAGTCCTACTGTTAGTGATGATATTCAAGATGATAAAATAGTCTGTTGTCATAAAATATGGATCTTTTTTTCCAGGTCAAATAAGAGAAATTCAAGACTCAGGTGCAGTGGTAAGTTATATGGATAAATATGGACGTCTGTGCATTTCTAGGAAATGATCTGTATACAAAGACTGTCTGTTGTACAAAATTAGTGATATTGTTAAAAAGATTGATCCTTCTAACCTTAAAACTAAAAATATTTATTCAGTTCCGTCCATGGCTGAACATATTGACTGAAAACTGACGATGATATTAGATGTGACCAAAATAAGGTCAGATTATTAATTTAAGTTTTTTAAAAGAATTTTTTATTTTGTTCCTGATACTTTTATATTAAATGTTTTCAAATAATCTTTTTTTTATGCTGTCATCAACTCCGTGGACACCAAATCATTACCATGGTCTTACAATTTTTAATTTTCTTAAAAAGTACTTTAAAATAAGAGCTTGACCACATAGCGCACAATGTTTCGTTACATGTTTAGAGTAAAAAAATGTTAATCCAATGTAATTCTAAGATGACAAGCGTCCTGCCGTTTTTCTCTTGCGAATTGTCCCCTTTTGGTGAAATCACCCACCAATAACATATATTGGAACTATAAAAACTCAAAGTCAAAGTAACATTTGGATAGTTACTGGAACGGGCCAGTATCATTATATTGTTACATTATAGTTGAAAAAACTATATAGTTTCAGTGAATCAGTTACTGTCACTAAACAGTGCCACTAATATGCCTAAATAAAGTAAATGGGTAGATACATAGACAAAAAAGTCCTAGAATAGTTAAAGTAACATTTGGGTAGTTACTGGAACTGGGTAGTATCATTTTATTGTTACTTTATAGTGGCAAAAACTATATATGTAGTACCGAGAATCAGTTACTGCTATCCACCAGTGTTACAAAGATGTCTAAATACAGTAACTGGGTACATAGAGAGGCAAAAAGGTCCCAGAATTGTTCCATTTACCATCATTTAAAACTTTATCGGCATTTTAGTGGCAAAATGGGCAGCGAAATAGTTCCTGTTGGCACTTTATAGTTTTTGCCACTATCCTATTTTGACTTGAGATCATTATAAAGTTTCAAGAACTTTATGGCGGTAGGCATAACTTTATAGTTACCTTTTTAAAAGCAGCCATTATTTAATCTATGTAAAAATCTTATATATTTTTGTATTAAATATTATTAGTAAGGACTATTTTAGATACTGAGTTTCTATGACGGGTAAAAATAATTTATCAACAGTTAACAAAGAGTTTCTGTTATTTTAATGTAAATTGTAGTTCGAAGTCTAAAAATCTATGTAAAAAAGCTCATAAATTTTTGTATTAAATATTATTAGTAAGGACTATTTTGGATGCTAAGTTTCTATGACGGGTAAAAATAATTTATAAACAGTCAACAAGGAGGTTCTATTATTTTGATGTATACTGTAGTTTGAAGTCTAAAAATCTATGTAAAAAAGCTTATATATTTTTGTATTAAATATTATTAGTAAGGATTATTTTAGATGCTAAGTTTCTATGACGGTTAAACATAATTTATGAACAGTTAACAAAGAGTTTTTGTTATTTTGATATAAATTGTAGTTTGAAGTCTAGAAATCTATGTAAAAAAGCTTATAAATTTTTGTATTAAATATTATTAGTAAGGACTATTTTAGATGCTAAGTTTCTATGATGGGTAAACATAATTTATGAACAGTTAACAAAGAGTTTTTGTTATTTTGATGTAAATTGTAGCTTGAAGTCTAGAAATCTATGTAAAAAAGCTTATATATTTTTGTATTGAATATTATTTTATGCAATTCTCTTATCATTTAATAAATAATATTTAGTATTTATTATAACAAATACGTGATCCGAAGTCACGTTCTGATTATGGTAATACATGAAAAAGCAACTTGTATGATTTATTTTACTTAGTGCAAGTAAGCATGAAGTAACTAAATATATTTAAGTATAAAACATAACATAAAAGTGGTAGTGGGTAGAAATATATATATATGAAAATATTAATTCTGCACTCCTTACTTGTGACTCCTTCTAACAGTTCACCCTGCAGAGCTGCAAATTTGAGGTCCATAAGACAGTTGTCTTTAATGATCTGAAAAAAAAAAAAACATACTTAAAGTTTAACAAAGTCTAACAGTACCCAAAATAAATATAAAAGTGCGGGGAGTCCTTTCATATAAATACATCGACTTTTATTAGCAAGAATCAATTTGAAAATAAATAAATAAATTAACCAAATCAAAAAATAATATTAGAACATAACAGCTTTGACCTTTTTACATAATGATGCCGGATTTATGGTATACTTCGTTAAATATCAATAATTTTCATTATAAACAATTTAGCAAGCACCAAAAAAATATAGAAACAGCAATTTTAAACTTTAATAGGATTCATGCAGCCACTAACGCGTGATTTATGAAGTTTCAGTCATCCGTTCTCGCATTCTTTCAAAACTGACGTAATCTTCGAACTCCATAACTGGAAGTAAAGAGTAATTACATCGAAATTAAAACAGAGTACGAAGTTGGTCTGAATAGTGGCCGCAACTTTCCGGAGAGTTCAATGCGATTTTCGTAATTTGAATACTCTAATTTGCATATAAATTGTCAAACGGCCAGCCGAATCCGAAATATACACATTCATATTCACTGGCCAGACATCTCTTGTTATTTTGATAATAAACAAGTAATCGAGTTATTTGCATAAGGTCTCTTTATGACGGTAGAAATTTTGACGCGTCTGATATCTGCAGTTGAAATGAGTAACTTAGATAATTAGGATAAACGGAAATAAGAATAGAGACGTCTAGAAAGAGAATATCTATAAAACATGATATAAAAACTTCTATTGTATTAAACATTGAATCTATCTTTCCCGTTATTCAACAATTTCACATTACTCATGCGCGAAAAAAGCGAGGTACTATTATATCTAGTAATTTTTCAAACCTTAGTCTAGATATATAAAAAGAGTACTCGAATTATGTTTTTTTTTTAGAGAAAAACCGTTTTTTAAAAACTCTTTAATTTCTGAATTACAACGCTAATGTATAAAGAATATCTAAAGAATGTCTGAAGAATAACGAAATAAACAAGTTACATATATTTATTACTTTTAAAGTGCTGATTTAGCTATAGATAAAATAATATTTACTACGTTAATTCTGTACATATAACTCCTCCCTTCCTAAGCTAAGAAGATCAGGGACTGATATTTCGAAGTTTCTGAATTATCTTCTTTTCTTCTTTTTTTTTATTTGATGTCATTGGCATCGACTACTAAGGCCATTAGCCTCGTATTCTGTGTAGGGTTTGTTACTGTTTCCCAGCGCTACTTTAGGAACAGTACTGTTAATTAGAACCCAACAGTGAATGGTCGAGTGGGGAATCCTACCAAGGCATCAGAATTAATTTTAAATAATTAAATTAAATGAAAAAATCCCAATTCTAATTCTATTTCTTTACTTTCTTCATTTGTAGATTTTCTTGCTTCTTTTCGGCGAGGACATATTTTCAATTGTAATATTTCTTTTCTTCTTTTTCATATTAAATAACTGGCAATGCATAAGATTATAATTATTGATTTAGTTTTATAAGGATTGTCTATTACTTTTTAAATTATAATTTTTAAATTCAGTGCCACTATCTGTTGTAATTTTTTGAGGTAAGCCATGATGGGTTACAATATTTAATAAATTATCTACTACATTTATTCCTGTTCTACTTTTCATAGGATATGCCTGACTATATCTTAAGAGTGAATCAATTATAGTTAAATATGATTGATTTGAAATTTTAAATACGTCAATATGTATATGTTCGAATAGTTTTGTGGCTGTAAGCGTTAAATAAAATTTTATTATTGGGGGATTTCTATCATATTTATTTTTCTGACAAGTTTCGCAATTGTTTATATAATATTTAATATCTTCCATCATTTTTGAACAATAATATCTAAAACTTAAGACGGTATTTACTTCATTAATCCCTCTATGTCCTGATTTATAAATATGGAATATTCGATTTTAGTTTTTTGTTCGTCAGTTGTTAAAAGGTTTGTTAGGAATTTTGTACAATGTATAAATTTAAATACAGAATGTTTAAAATTATTTGGCACTGTAGTTTATAAATGTTTCAGGTAAATTTTGATTTTTAAAATATAAAGCATATGTTATTTTTGGATCAATATAATTTTTCACAAAATTAATAATTTGTTGTTCTAAGTTAATTTTAGATAAGGTTACGTATATTCTAGAGTTTTCAAAAATCTTTTCTATTCTTACTTGATTATTTATTGATTCTCCAACTGTAATAAAAATTTGATTTTTATAAGAGTTTAAACAACTATCTGAAATATGAATTAAATAAAATTATGTTTATTTCTGCCAAAACTAAACTATTATTGTTCAGTTTTTGAATCTTACTCTTTTTCTATCCGAGTTTGCAAAGTTTTTAAATTTTATTCTCTTTCTATAACATTTGTAGGTTCCAGGTTTTAATACTATTATTTGATTTATTACAAATATTTGTTGTATTTATTTTAATATTATTATGCAACAGTGAACATTCTTTTTTATCATATGGATTTATTTTAGAAAATTTTCCATCATCTATTATATTTTGTTAAATTATTTTTGTGTAAATTAGTTTCGACTTGCAAATTATTATTGGTGG